ACTCTACATATTTACCGTTTTTTCCATTTTTTTTTTTTTTTACTTGGTTTTCATGATATGATACTTATGTTTTATTGTAAATCTTTTTATTTCAATGTCAATTGTTGCTTATACACCAATAATATATACAAAATTATTATCATAATGTCACAAACACACATGTACACACTGACAGGTGATTTTGCACACCTGGCTGAATCACACATTATTATCTACAACTATATACAAGTATTTACATGGCCCACTTATGTTTCTAGAACTCTACGATTGTATGGTACTCCATGAAGCATAGATTCATACAGAGTGCCACCCCACACTGGTGACATATGTATCGTGTGTCCTTCCGCTGTTGGGGTTGTTTTATGGTGGTAGTACACACAACACACTTTTTCTGGGAATGCTTCTTCTTTGGGGTAGGTGGTATTGGTACCAGGTAGTGACAGTTAAGGATGATTCGGTCTGGCACTTTCCCCACTGGCTGTGGTTGTGGTTGGGGGACAGGTTGTGGTGTGACAGGTCACTGTTGAGGGGCAGGTACAGGTGTGTTACCATACTTTTTTGCTGTCTGTTTTATGACATTCAGGGAGAATTCTGCAAAACGTTGTTGTTTTCCAGTCTTTATTTCGTACATATTGAACGCATTGATCACTGCAATGCCTACAAGGTGAAAAAACAGTTTTATGTACCACTTGCGACTCCTTCACACACATTCAACGAACCCTATTATCATGTCACACTTGTCATCTAGTCGTATATTGTTCATATAGTCAACAACAGCAGCTGGCTTGACAATACGTTCATTGGTCTCCCTGTTCACTTTGTCTATTTGTACCATCTCATTTCTGTGGATGGTTGACAGCAATGTCATGTCCCGTTTGTTATGCCACGTCAGTGCCATGATATCATTAGCATGAAATACTTCCACTGCACCTTCAACACTGCCTCCACTGATACTTGGCATATGTTTTCTATTCCTTCTCACTGTTCCACATATATCAGTATTGTTCACACGTAGAAAATCAGCGAGCATAGGGCTTGTATACCAGTTGTCTGTATACAATGTATGGCCCTTGTCAAGGTATGGTTCCATCATTTTTCGAACAACATCACCAGAAATGCCCAACATGCACCTGGTATCGTTGAGTGTGTTTTTCCCGGTGTATACAATCACATCCAACACAAGACTACTCTCATAGTCACACATAACAAAAAGTTTTATACCAAAGCAATGACGTTTGCTCGGTATATATTGCTTGAATGACAGTTATCCCTTGAACAGAATCAAGGACTCGTCAACAACAACGTTCTTGAAGGGATAAAAGTAGGCACTAAATTTTTGCTTCATAAAGATAATCGCACTTCCCGGATTTTGTACAGAAGGTCATTTCTGTTGGGCCTATTCCTGTCTGAGAAGTGCAACGTTTGTAGCAACAGAATGAATCTGTTGCAGGAAAGGAGGTCACAGAAGATAGGAGTACCGATAAAGTAGTCTGTGGCCCAGTAGTTACATATATTGTTCTTATAGGTATGTGGCATAAGCATGACAGTGGCAAGAAATAAATGAATTTCATCCACTGTTGTATCTTTCCATCTGTGCAGCTGTGATGATTCCCCAACTTCTGCTGTATTGTCCATGATATAGCAGTAATACAGTGGACCCCTGGTTTACGATCACCTTCCAATGTGACCAATTATGTAAGTGTATTTATGTAAGTGCGTTTGTACGTGTATGTTTGGGGGTCTGAAATGGACTAATCTAATTCACAATATTCCTTATGGGAACAAATTCGTTCAGTACTGGCACCTGAACATAATTCTGGAATGAAATAATATCGTAAACCGGGGGTCCACTGTAATTGTTCGTCTGGGTCACTATAAACTTCATTATAGGCTCGTCAGAGTATAACTGGAAAAAGTCTAACTCTGTAGACTCATTCATTATGGGACATTCTGGCAGGATGCCACTTCCACTCGCATCAAAATCAAAAGGCTGTGGAACGAATATACTTTGTGTCCAGTTCCACTCTCGGTCACATGGTGCAGGGTGGACCTCTGGCATGGGGCATGGGGGAGCAGGAGGGGGGGACAGGAGTGGAGGCAGCACATGGTTGAGGGGATGCCGGGCAGTCCTTTGTCTGTCCACCCACTGTGCCATGTGGTCCAGGCACTGTGCCACCCACCATTATTTCCTCCATCCCCACATATTTACCTTCATGATCACTTTCACTATCAGTGGCAGGGGTTTTGGATCGTGACCTGCCATGACCCTTGCCGCTGACTGTAAATGGCACACTGCCTGAACGTAGGTGACAATGCCTAAAAATGCGCTTCACTGGTGAATAATGATCACTGTCACTAGACAAATCCTCTAATGGCATAAAATCAATCTCATTGTCACTTATATCACATTCACTATCACTAAAACACCGGGAAAATGATAGTTTCCTCTTGCATAGTTGCCTATGTGTAACACTCGCCACTCCAGAGGTGCTTGGCCCAGGGTCTTGTGTGGCCACACTGGGCACCCCAGAAGTGCTTGGCCTAGGGTCTGGTGTGGCCACACTGGCCACCCCAGAGGTGATGGGCTGAGGGTCATCTGGGTTATCGTCTATATTTTCACTATTTCCTTGATTATTAGTAGCCACATCTGCGCCAGATCCACTAAACTGATGTTCTGTATCACTTTCCTCAAATAATAGAGTGCTAATACGACGAGGCATGAGTGAATCACGAGGATGTGCCATGATGTTGACCCAAGATGGAGCTGAATGTAACTGGTCCTACCATGTAGTACCCAGGCATCCCCGATTTTTTTTCATACAGCGCACATTGAGTGCGCACACCCATTCTCTCATGTCTGGGCAACTCAGGCCTATCGCGCCAATTTTAAAGGAATGAAAAATGAAATGTAAATATATGTTTGGGGCAGTAGCGGTAAAAACATATACATATGTATATACGTTTGGACCATTTACGGGTTAATTAATTAATTTTGATAGTACAATATCTCGCAATAATTTTAGGTATTTTAACATTTTTCTTGTAGTTTTAGGGAATTACAGTATTTTACACTCAGGACGGTAGTACCTCCCTGGGCGGTTGTTGTCTGCCAACCTACCACAAGATGGTAGTACCTGCCTGGGTGGTTGCTGTCTACCAACCTACTACCATAGGACAGTAGCACCTCCCTGGATGGTTACTGTCTTCCAACCTACTGCCACAGGATGGTAGTACCTCCCTGGGTGGTTGCTGTCTACCAGCCTACTACCATATGACAGTAGCACCTCCCTGGATGGTTGCTGTCTTCCAAACTACTACCACAGGATGGTAGTACCTCCCTGGATGGTTGCTGTCTTCCAACCTACTACCACAGGATGGTAATACCTCCCTGGGTGGTTGTCTACAAACCTACTACCACAGGATGGTAGTACCTCCCTAGGTGGTTGCTGTCTACAAACCTACTACCACAGGATGGTAGTACCTCCCTAGGTGATTGTTGTGTACCAACCTACTACCACAGGATGGTAGTACCTCCCTGGGTGGTTGCTGTCTACCAACCTACTACCATAGGACAGTAGTACCTCCCTGGGTGGTTGCTGTCTTCCAAACTACTACCACAGGATGGTAGTATCTCCCTGGATGGTTGCTGTCTTCCAACCTACTGCCACAGTGGTAGTACCTTCTTGGGTGGTTGCTGTCTTCCAACCTTCTGCCACAGTGGTAGTATCTCCCTGGATGGTTTCTGTCTACCAACCTACTACCACAGGATGGTAGTACCCTCCTGGGTAATTTTTGCCAACATACTACCACAGAATGGTAGTACCTCCCTGGGTGGTTTCTGTCTACCAACCTACTACCACAGGATGGTAGTACCTCCCTGGGTAGTTGCTGTCTACCAGCCTACTACCACAGGATGGTAGTACCTCCCTGGGTTGGTAGGTAAGACACATAGGCAACATTTAGGCAACTTTATTCCGAAACATTTCGCCTACACAGTAGGCTTCTTCAGTCGAGTACAGAAAGTAGGCAGGAGCAGTAGAGATGTGAAGATGATGTAATCAGTCCATCATCCTTGAAGTCGTAGATTTGAGACACATCATCTTCACATCTCTACTGCTCCTGCCTACTTTCTGTACTTGACTGAAGAAGCCTACTGTGTAGGTGAAACAATTCAGAATAAAGTTGCCTAACTGTTCCCTATGTGTCTTACCTACCAACCAGTTGGCATTGTATACCATTTTGATATTCACCTCCCTGGGTGGTTGCTGTCTACCAACCTACTACCACAGGATGGTAGTAAATCTCTGGGTGGTTGCTGTCTACCAACCTACTACCACAGGATGGTAGTACCTCCCTGGGTGGTTGCTGTCTACCAACCTACTACCATAGGACGGTAGTACCTCCCTGGGTGGTTGCTGTCTACCAACCTACCACTATAGGACAGTAGTACCTCCCTGGGTGGTTGCTGTCTACCAACCTACTACCATAGGACAGTACGTAGTACCTTCTTGGGTGATTGCTGTCTACCAGCCTACTACCATATTACAGTAGTACCTCCATGGGTGGTTGCTGTCTACCACCCTACTACCATAGGATGGTAGTACTTCCCAGGGTGGTTGCTGTCTATCAACCTACTACCATAGGACAGTAGTGCCTCCATGGGTGGTTGCTGTCTCCCAACCTACCATAGGATGGTAGTACCTCCCTCAGTGATTGCTGTCCGCCTCGACTACCTCACATTAGAATTAAGATTAAATAAACATTTTGATGAATGTTAACCACTCTTATTTTGTCTAGATTTAATTAGTCATTATGTTCTTGGATCAGTCTGCCTGAGATGCCCGGGCATGATAGTGACTTTCTTTTTACTTAGCAAACCAAAATTGTAATTACACATTGTAACCTTTACAAAGAAATAAAAACTTTATTCTTTATCCTTTTATTGTTTTTTATGTAGGGTTATGATTTATGGTGTTTTAAAACAATGTTTTCCTGTGCAGGTAGAAGCTCTGAAGTCTGTGTCAAGAAGCAGGAACTACAGTTTAAAAGTCATTTACAGTCATTCTAACAAGTTGAATGACAAGATGAATGTGTAAGAACATTCATGGATGGTGTAATTACCTATTTGAGTTAATGAAGTGTGAGCTCCAGCTCTCGGTACCACCTCATCACTTACACCGACTAACTTGATCAAGTGCTGCCGTGTTTATTTTGTGACTGCCTGTATGCAGCTAGAATGGAGCTAGCACAAACTAGCTAATATTGCAATTAGTGATTTGTTAAATAACTTTATGAACTATGTTCTAATACAGCGAAAATTATGATTACATAGTGATTTGCTAAAAAAATACATGGATAGTCTTAGCAAATTAACAAATTTCTTTGTTGTAAGTTTTATATAAACCACAAAGATGGCAATAGCTGAGAAATATATTTTAGTGATTTCTTAAAAAAAAAAAAAAAAAACTGGGTACATATTGTGGTATCAAACTAACAGCAAATATTGCCAGTGGTCATTTGTTAAAAACTATGTGAACAGTCTGGTGAATAGCAATGAACATTGCTAGTGGTGATTTGTTTTAAATCATGGTAAAAACACGAACTACAGGGGCTCCTAGACTTACGATAGGATTATGTTCTGACAAACTCATCGTAAGTTGAAAATATCGTAAGTCGAATATGAATACAGTATGCTAAATAAATAAGTAAATACACCCACCATCCGACTTACGACCGAGTTCGGTTCCGAGAAACCGGTCGTAAGTCGAAATGGTCGTAAGTCGAACTTTACTACTGAATATCAACAAAACATTTTTGTAATGACTTTATTTTATTGTTTTATTTTGGTATTTCATGTTTTACTTTACTTTTTATGTTGTTAGTACTGTATTTTATACTGTAAGGTTTAGGATAAACACTGTGTACAACACAAATAGTTGGTTATATCCCAGGAATTTGGCATAAAAAACACGGTTGTAAGTTGAGTGGTCATAAGTCGAGCAGGTCGTAAGTCGGATGGTAGGTGTAACTATTGTCACTGAGTAAATAAACAAATAATTACTGTATCTAGATACCAGTACTGAAAAGTAAATAAATGAATACAAGTTACAGACTTTCCGCCTTAATGCTGGGTAATTATCTCGAGTTTCATCTCCAGAGTAATTGCTGTCGCACCATCAAAGTTGAAATACGGTAAGTCGAGGAGCACCTGTATAGTGTATAGTAGCGATAGCAATCAACCTGTCCTTACATGGTGCATCATTGTGTATTATTAATTGTGATATTCACTGTCTTCTCTGAAACCTTTAACTAGACACAGTTTTTCTTAATTTTGAATATTTGTAAATGTAGGCTTTTATAGGCTTATGTTACCTGGCTTGACTTGAAAATTCTGCCCAGGAAATGCTGAGGTCACACTGGAGATTATGTAAGAAAATGAACTGCGTAAGAAATGAACAGGTGATACAAGTACAGCCTCTCCTTGCCCAGCGACACACTCGTTTACCAACAACTCGGACTTACGACGGGCTCTCTGACCAGTATGCATACCTAAATACAGCCTCTCTTCACTTAACCCTTTCAGGGTTTCGGCCGTACTAGTACGGCTTACGCACCAGGGTTTTTGACGTACTAGTACGCCTAAATTCTACCGCCCTCAAATCTAATGAGAGAAAGCTGGTAGGCCTACATATGAAAGAATGGGTCTATGTGGTCAGTGAGCATGGTATAAAAAAATCCTGCAGCACACAGTGCGTAATGAGAAAAAAAAAGCTTTCACCGTGTTTTTGGATAAAAACAGCGACTTTGCACTATATTTTCGTATGGTATTTATTGTTGCATTCTAGTTTTCCTGGTCTCATTTTATAGAATGGAAGACATATTACAGAAATTGAGATGATTTTGACCGGTTTTACAATGAAAAGTACCTTGAAATTGAGCTCAAAGTAGCAGAAATGTTCGATTTTTACCGAAGTTCAAAAGTAAACAAATCATGCTATGCGTCCAATACACGTCAACTGGTGAGTCTAATATTCTTTCACAAGTGTGCTGATATTATTTATACCATTTCTACACTAATGCAGTAGTCTGCATAACAGTAAATCTTCTATTTTTTTGTGAGAATAAAAATTCAAAGTGGAAAGCAAAAGAATATAAGAGGGGCGTGGGGACATGACTGATGAACAGAGGAAATGTTATTTTAGTGCCAGGAATGTCTTTCTTGTTTATTCTGGAACCTATTCGGAAATTGGCATCTTTTGAAATTTGTGTGAAATTGGCAAAATTGCTAAATTCTGACCACTGTATTGGATAGTTGAAATCGGTAAATGGGTGGTTTCTTGTACTCATTCGATAGAAAAAATGGAGTTCTAGCGAAATAGTTATGATTTTTATCAACTAGTACACTGGAATTGGCCGAAAATAGGGCTCAAATTAGGCAAAATCGCCAATGCGTAAACATCGTCGTGACCGCTAACTTTGCAAGAGCATAATTCCGTACATTTTCCATCAAATTTCATACTTTTGGTGTCATTATGATCAGGAAAAGATTCTCCATCTTTTCATAAGAAAAAAATAATTTTTTTTTTTTTTGAAATTTGGGTGACCCTGAGAACAAGTCTCTGAGAGTGCCTGCCGACCCTGAAAGAGTTAATTAACGAAAGTGTTCCGTTCCTAATACCACATCACTAAATGAGGAGCATACAATAATGGTAATGGGTTTATGTCATCCATCTTTGATATTGCTTTAATGTCACCTTTGCATTTATAACATTTCTGGTATATTTTTAAATGTTTGTACAGTAGTGTACCGTATATTGTAATAAACAGAATAGAGGAAATTGGCTCCAATATACATTATTTAGGTATGCATACTGGTCAGAGAGTTCGTCATAGTCGGAGTCGTCAGTGAATAAGCAAGTCGCTAAGTGAGGAGAGGCTGTAAAGTATGTTAGAGCTGATTTCTTTTATTCTGTGTATGTATTACAGTATACAGTACACTATTGTATGAACATTTAAAAATGTACCAGAAATGTTATACTAATGGTGCAAAGATGACATTAAAACAATATCAAAGATGGTTGACACAAACCAACTATCATTAGAGTATGCTCCTCACTTAGCAACGAATTTGTTTACTGATGTGGTCTTCAGAACTGAACTCCGTTGTTAAGTGAGGAGAGATTGTACAGTACTGGGACAAGTAGAGTACTGACACAAGTTGAGTACTGACACAAGTAGAGTACTGACACAAGTAGAGTACTGACACAAGTAGAGTACTGACACAAGTAGAGTACTGACACAAGTTGAGTACAGCAATACCTCACACAGTACAGCTTGCAACAGTACACGTTATGATATAATTTTATTTTTCAACAAACTGACCATATCCTACTGAGACAGGGTGACCTAAAAAAAAGTTTTCCTTTTTGAATTTAGTAAATTATACAGGAGAAGGCATTACTAGCCCCTTGATCATGACATTTTAGTTTCCTCTTATGACAAGTATGGCTTTTTTTTTATGTAATATGGTTTGTAAATTTAATAATATAAATTTTATGTACCACATTTTATAGCAAACAAGACCATTTCTGTCTGTTTTCTTACATCATCACTCATGGTTTCAAATTAGTAAGTTTAAATTATTTAGGTACAGGTACACTTATTATTTTTATTATTTTAATCAGGGGGGAAGCGCTAAACCCATAGGATTATACAGCACCTGTGGAAGAGGGGGAGGAAGGTATTCTGGGTTGATTCAGGGAACTGGAGCACATATTCGGTTCCCTAGATCAAGAGCCCCTCACCAGCATCAAGGAACCTTCCTTGAGGAGACAGGTAATAATAATAATAATAATATCTTTATTTACTACAAGTACATGTACATGGTATACAGGCCTAGCTGACAACAATGACATACTACTGCATAGAAATCCCCTTGTTATGCTCAGCATTTCGGGCAAATTAGGTCAGTGTCCCAGGATGCGACCCACACCAGTCAACTAACACCTAGGTACCCATTTTACTGATGGGGAACATAGACAACAGGTGGAAAGAAACACGCCCAATGTTTCTACTCTGGCTGGGAATCGAACCCAGACCCTCGCCGTGTGAAGCGAGAGTGTTAGCCACCAGGCCACCAGAATTATCCACATAAATTATCATTCATAGTAAGATGTATGTAAATTACCGAGTACAGGTCCACCATCATAAATCCGGCAATCAGACATCTGGTTCCATCAGTTATTCGGCACTAATTTCAGCTAGCATAATTTTAAATTTCCAGGGTCACCACACCAACTTGCTGGTACTGTATGGTTGTGCTACTTGCTGCATAAGTCATTCCAATTTCTTTTTCTCCATTTATTGTTATAACCTGCTTACTTTTAGTAAATACAGTATTCGATTCCCAGCCAGGGTAGAAACATTGGGTGTTTCTTTACACCTGTTATCTATGTTCACCCATCAGTAAATGGGTACCTGGGCATTAGTGGACTGGTGTGGGTGTTATCCTTGGACACTGACCTAATTTGCCTGAAATGCTTAGCATAACAAGGGGCTTTCTATATACAGGTACCATCCGACTTATGACCGAGTTCGGTTCCGACCAACTGGTCGTAAGTCAAAATGGACGCAAGTCGAACCTTACTATTGAATATCAACATCACATTTTTGTAATGACTTCATTTTATTGTTTTATTTTGGTACACCTACCATCCGACTTACGACCTGCTTGACATACGTCCACTCGACTTACGATCGTGTATCTGGCAGCTGGGCTGGCCCGGCTGATGCACACAGCTGTACAATATTTGAGGATACTCGCGGCAGCAATGCATCATGCAGGCAGCATCAGTTTGAGTAACCCTGCCCTATCAGCGGCATCATGCTGTATTAACTGGACAGTAAATTTCACCATGGCCCCTTAGATGAAGTCTGAATCTTGCACTGGAGATTGTGGCAAGAAGGGCTCTTATTCTCGAACTCTCTATTTGCTTTCACTGTTGCACTGTCTGTATCTGTCTGCCTGTATATCTGTGTCTGTCTGTATCTGTGTTACTGTTTATCTGTCTGTCTACCTGTGTGTGTGTCTTTCTGTCTACCTGTGTGTCTGTCTTTCTGTCTACCTGTGTGTCTGCCTGTCTACCTGTGTCTGTCTTTCTGTCTACCTGTGTGTCTGTCTTTCTGTCTTTCTGTCTACCTGTGTGTGTCTGTCTATCTGTGTGTCTGTCTTTCTGTCTTTCTGTCTACCTGTGTGTGTCTGTCTTTCTGACTATCTGTGTCTGTCTTTCTGTCTGCCTGTGTGTCTGTCTTTCTGTCTACCTGTGTCTGTCTTTCTGTCTACCTATGTGTCTGTCTTTCTGTCTACCTGTGTCCGTCTTTCTGTCTACCTATGTGTCTGTCTTTCTGTCTACCTGTGTGTCTGTTTTTCTGTCTACCTGTGTGTCTGTCTTTCTGTCTACCTGTGTGTCTGTCTTTCTGTCTACCTGTGTCTGTCTTTCTAAGTGTGTGTCTGTCTTTGTCTGATTGTCTGTCTCAGAGCCACTCATTAAGAGTGTACTTGGTCTTGAAGATGCCATATTAATAATGATAATAATAATAATCACTGAGGCGCATTAAATGTGTATAAAACGTTAATATAGACATTTTGCTTAATCCATCTATGATTTTTTTTTTCAAAATTATATAATAAACATGCTACATAACATATAGATTAACAAATATGAGATGTTTTTCTGGTCGGCTTGACAGTGTGAACAAAAACCATTCGTGTCCGGGCTGGTAACAACAACAACGTTTGTTTACATAACTCGTGAACCTTCTACACTCTCATTCTCTCTCTCGTTTATTCATTTAATCTTGTTTACTCACCTCTCACTCTACATTAAGACTACAGATATTTTAAGGTAAGTAATGAGTTTAATAATAATAATATTATTAATATTAGTACATATGTATTATTGTAATAATAATAATAATAATAATAATAATTATTAATATTATTATTAATTTAGGGCACTGGAGCACAGATCCACTGTATAGCACTTTGTCTGGATTTTATGGGTTATCCTAGGTAATTTATACTATGTATGATAACTTTACTTACGTGTACCTGTGTGTGTGTGTGTGAGAGAGCGAGAGAGAGAGAGAGAGATACAGAGAGAGAGAGACAGCCACATTCAGTCAGCCCATCAGCCAACCACCCACCTGGCCACCCACCCACCTGGCCAGCCAGCCAGCCAGCCAGATACGTATTACACATGTTCCAGAGTTGTTTCTCTTTACTTAGGGTATAGGTTACACAACATTCTGGCAGGATGACACTACCAGTGGTATTCTCCCATTCCACTGTGTCGACAATACATAAAGATAACAGTAACATATGATACTGTATGCAATGTAAAATTTACAATACAGTTCACTACCATGCATACATTATATACAGTACATAAATAATTAAAATATAACAATAAAAGTAAATTATGGTAAAAAAAATGAAATAATGATTGTACATTACATTACAGTATTATGTAGGTAGTTTATATAGGAAAGTTTTGACATTATGCCCTACCCAGTATGTCGGCAATTTTCAAAGGTTCGACTTACGTCTATTTTGACTTACGACCAGTTGGTCAGAACAAAGCTTGGTTGTAAGTCGGATGGTTAGTGTATTTCATATTTTACTTTACTTTTTATGCTGTTAGTTCTGTATTTTATATTGTAAGGTTTAGGATAAACACTGTGTACAACACAAACAGTTGTTTATTTCCCAGAAATTTGGCATTGAAAACACGGTCGTAAGTCGAATGGTTAAATGTCGAGCAGGTTGTAAGTTGGATGGTAGGTGTAGTAGTATTCAAATTCAAATTCAAATTCAAACTTTATTCTCTATAAGTATTACAATGCTGAGTTTACAGAATTTGGTTATTGTGTGGTTTACATGTAGTAAAATAATAATTACAGAGTGTACCACTAGAACGCCTAGCATGGCTAGGCATTTCGGGCAGACTTATATTAAATCTTAGGTTTAAAATGTTACAGAATTATGAGATAAGTTGGTATTATGGCTAAGTGACTAAATACTAGTTGTGAGTTTAGCAATGTGAATGCTTTTGTTTTGGCACAGTACATAGTTTCAGTATTGGAGTATCACAGGCCAACTTTTGACTAGTTAAGATTCATTATTTTGAGATTGAGATTGAGATTTCTGTTTATGGTCAAATGGGTGAGTGAGTGTAAGTGTGAACCACCAGGTGGTATTCGTATTATTAGTTGACGGGGTGTATCAGGGAGATAAGATGTTTTCTGATGGTAGTTTTGAAGGTGATGAATGTGTCTGCAGTTTTGGAATTTTCAGGTAGGGTGTTCCAGATTTTAGGGCCTTTGACATACAGGAGGGCCCCACTTATACGGCGGGTTAGGTTCCAGGCTACCGCCGTAAAGTGGAACACCCTTTTTTTTCCACTTACAAATGCATACAAACACTAGATAACAAGTTTACACTAACATATATTATGTTAGCAATAGAACCAGGCATCAAAAAACAATAAAAAAGTACAATACACACATAGTGCACTCATTACTTACCTTAAAATATTTATAGTCTTAATCTAGGGTGAGACAAGTAGTATTTATTGTAAGAAATCAAGTGTGGTATGTATTGTAATAGCCAGGCTACCTCACCAGGCCACCCACCCACACATACTATTCTTTTGATATTTAAGCATCCCAGAGCGATAAAATGTATATACATTTTCACTCATTACTTACCTTAAAATATAGGGTGAGATGAGTAGTATTTATTGTAAAAAATCAAGTGTGGTATGTATGGTAGTCAGCCAGGCTACCATACCAGGCCAACCCACCCACACATACTATTCTATGATATTTAAGCATCCCAGAGCGATAAAATGTATATACAGTTCACTCATTACTTACCTTAAAATATAGGGTGAGATGAGTAGTATTTATTGTAAAAAATCAAGTGTGGTATGTATGGTAGTCAGCCAGGCTACCATACCAGGCCAACCCACCCACACATACTATTCTATGATATTTAAGCATCCCAGAGCGATAAAAATGTATATACAGTTCACTCATTACTTACCTTAAAATATAGGGTGAGATGAGTAGTATTTATTGTAAAAAATCAAGTGTGGTATGTATGGTAATCAGCCAGGCTACCATACCAGAGAGAAAGAATGAGTGCATGAGAGAGGACAGGCGCAGAGTTATGTAAAAAAACCCAGGCGAACGTAAGTTTTGTAAACGAAGTGTACACGTCTGGTTTGTGTACAAGTTACATTGTGTACAGGTTGTCTCTACATTGATACGGTAGAATAAATAAAGAAGAACACTCCCATTCTCATGTAACATCATTTTGAGAGAAATGATGCTCTGAGTGAAGGCAATGGAAGTAAGTCACTCTGACTTTTTTGGGTTATCCTAGGTTCTCTACACATATGTTGTTATGTATTTATGTTATGTATCGTGTTTATTATATAATTTTGAAAAAAATATCATGGATGGATTAATGAAAATGTGTATATTAACGTAATATACAACATTTAATGATACACCGAGCTCAGACAGCGTAAACAGACAAACTGAACAGGTTGTGGACGATCACTCGGTCAGGCGAAATACATAGACAGTATTAATACGTGTCCAGTTTTAGTTCATTCATGTACATTTGTAAGAGTTTGTGAAACTTTTACCTTATAATATTTTTATTATTATTATAATAATTAAATCACGAAACAAATACTCTTACACTGTGTACAAGTTAATACAGAATTATAGCTATAAAGTGAAGGCATACGAAAGGAATATTTTTCTACAGTTATCCCTAGTAACAGGTGACGGGCTAGAGAAAACGTAATTCTTCCGACACTTCTACAAACCGTTTGGTAAACATCTCATATATATTTGTATAAATTTTTAAACTGTGGGTGCATGCATCATGTTTGTGTGTTACATAATGTGTTTCTTATATAATTTTGAAAAAATATCATAGATAGATTAAGGGAAATGTCTATATTAACGTAATATGCAACATTAATGCGCCCAAGAGATTATTATTATTACTATTATTATTATTATTATTATTATTATTATTATTATTATTATTATTATTATTATTATTGCATCAAGAGTAGAGAGACTCTTAGTGATTTTAATGTGTACCTACATGCCAGCACAGTGTGTAAGTTTATTTAGGTACAGGTGTACACAAGTTTAATTATCAAGTACAATACATATAAAATATACAATAACTTTAAAACACTTGAAATTTTGGAAAGTTTCCAGACATAATAAGGAGATGTGTTCAGGGAGAATGTAAACAAACTCGGTGGGCCGCTGTGACCGTATTAGAAAGACAGGTGGGGGGAGCCGTATAGCGAGTTTTGGTCATAATTTTAAATGTCCGTATTAGTGGAACACCGTAAAGCGAAACGCCGTAAAGTGGGGCCCTGCTGTACATTGAATTTTTGTAAAGGTTTAGTCGGACACGGGGAATGTCATAGAGATGTTTGTGTCTGGTGTTGTGCCTGTGGGTTCTGTCACAACTATCAAGAAAGCATTTTAGGTCAAGGTTAATATTGGAATTTACTGATGTCAGCTAGGCCTGTTTACCATGTACATTTAGTAAATAAAGATATTATTATTTTTTTTCTCTGTTCTTTGTTGGGCTATCTTATTGAAACTGGGCAATGTATGATGGAAAGGTACTTAACATACTCCAGAAATTTAAAACATCAGACAATAAATAACGGAGTTCACTTCTCAGCCATTAACGGCCCCTTAGCAGTATATTTTTGTATGGTTTTTATGTTGTATTCTCGTTTTTTTGGTCTCATTTGATATAATAGAAGATATATTACAGAAATAGATGTGATTTTAAGAACATAAGAATGGAGGAACACTGCAGAAGGCCTACTGGGCCATGCAAGGCAGGTCCTTATTAAAACAACGTCTACCCAAAGCTAACCAAGAATTTACTCCTGTACCCAATGACACCAATCAAACCCAGCCCCTCCCACTCATATACAGTGGTCCCTCGCTTTTCGTAGTTCCCGGCAATCGTAAATTTCGCCAATCATAGGGTTATTTTCGTATAAACATGGACTCGCTTTTCATAAGTTGACTCGCGAGTCGTAATTTGTCCTGGACGCATACCCATGGCGTGAGCCATGGCAGCAGCCAGTCTGGCATTGTTTACCAGTGAGCGAAGGTCCCCTCACGTGCTCCAGCAAAATGTTTCATAATATTCCATTTATTTTAGTGCTTGCAAGTACTAAATAAGCTACCATGGCTCCAAAGAAAGCTCCTAGTGCCAAGCCTGTGGTAAAGAAGGTGAGAAATACAATTGAATTTAAGAAAACCATCATTGAACAATATGAAAGTGGTACAAGTGTGGCCGAACTGTCCAAGATGTATAAGAAACCCTACACAACCTTATTTTCCATAGTGGCCAAGAAAAAGGAAAGCAAGGATGCTGTTGTTGCAAAGGGAGTAACTATGCTGACAAAAATGAGATCACCAGTACTCGAAGAGGTTGAGAAGTTATTATTGGTGTGGATAAATGAGAAACAATTAGCAAGAGATACTCTTATGACTTCGATTATTTGTGAAAAGGCTAGGCAATTGCATGAAGATTTGGTAAAGAAATTGCCTGCAAATAGTGGTGATGTGAGTGAATTTAAGGCCAGCAAAGGTTGGTTTGAGAGATTTAAGAACCGTACTGGCATACACAGTGTGGTAAGGCATGGTGAGGCTGCCAGTTCGGACCACAAGGCGGCTGAAAAATATGTGCATGAATTCCAGGAGTACATAGAGGCTGAAGGACTGAAACCTGAACAAGTGTTCAATTGTGACGAAACAGGCCTCTTTTGGAAGAAAATGCCAAAGAGGACCTTCATTACACAAGAGGAAAAGGCAATGCCAGGACACAAGCCTATGAAAGACAGGCTGACGCTAATGTTCTGTGCTAATGCTAGTGGGGATTTCAAAGTGAAGCCATTACTAGTGTACCATTCAGAAAATCCCAGAGTGTTCAGGAAAAACAATGTTATGAAGAGTAAATTGTGTGTGTTTTGGAAATCTAATAGTAAGGCATTGGTCACGAGGGAAATTTTCATCGAGTGGTTCAATGAAGTGTTTAGCCCTGGAAAAGAAATTGGATCTCAAGTGCCTGCTAGTAATGGACAATGCATCTGCTCATCCTCCAAACTTGGATGACCTAATTTTCGAGGAGTTTGGGTTCATCACAGTAAAGTTCTTGCCCCCGAATACCACTCCTCTCCTCCAGCCCATGGACCAGCAGGTCATTGCAAACTTTAAAAAACTCTACACAAAAGCAATGTTTCACAGGTGCTTGACTGTGACCACAGACACTCACTTGACCCTAAGGGAATTTTGGAGAGAACACTTCAGCATCCTCCTTTGCATAACCCTTATAGGTATGGCTTGGGAGGGAGTGACTACCAGGACTTTGAACTCTGCCTGGAGAAAATTGTGGCCATATTGTGTCGACAAGAGGGATTATGAAGGGTTTGAGACTGACCCTGATGAGCCTATTTTTTTTTTTTTTTTTTTTTTTATCACACTGGCCGATTCCCACCAAGGCAGGGTGGCCCGAAAAAGAAAAACTTTCACCATCATTCACTCCATCACTGTCTTGCCAGAAGGGTGCTTTACACTACAGTTTTTAAACTGCAACATTAACACCCCTCCTTCAGAGTGCAGGCACTGTACTTCCCATCTCCAGGACTCAAGTCCGGCCTGCCGGTTTCCCTGAATCCCTTCATAAATGTTACTTTGCTCACACTCCAACAGCATGTCAAGTATTAAAAACCATTTGTCTCCATTCACTCCTATCAAACACGCTCACGCATGCCTGCTGGAAGTCCAAGCCCCTCGCACACAAACCTCCTTTACCCCCTCCCTCCAACCTTTCCTAGGCCAACCCCTACCCCGCCTTCCTTCCCACTACAGACTGATACACTCTTGAAGTCATTCTGTTTCGCTCCATTCTCTCTACATGTCTGAACCACCTCAACAACCCTTCCTCAGCCCTCTGGACAACAGTTTTGGTAATCCCGCACCTCCTCCTAACTTCCAAACTACGAATTCTCTGCATTATATTCACACCACACATTGCCCTCAGACATGACATCTCACTTGCCTCCAGCCTTCTCCTCGCTGCAACATTCATCACCCATGCTTCACACCCATATAAGAGCGTTGGTAAAACTACCAATTATAAAATATTGTAAAATCAATTACGGCACTGGGAGTTCCATGGGGTTGGATGTGAGTTTGGAGGATGTGGAAGAATTGGTGGAAGACCACAATGAAGTGCTCACCACTGAGGAGCTGCAAGAGCTTCAGCAGGAAGAGCAACACATTGCAGCTCAGAATCTTGCTGCAGAGGAGGAGGAAGAGAGATGGAAGAAGGTGCCTTCTTCAGAAATTAAAGAGATTTTTACTATGTGGGATAAGATGGAAAGCTTTATGGAGAAACATCACCCTAACAAGGTTGTTGCAAGCCATATTGGCAACATGTACAGTGACAAAGTCTTGGGCCATTTTAGGGAAATGTTAAAGAGCTCTCTCCACAGTTATTTTGCGAGACAGGACTTCAGTGACTATCAAGCTGGTCCTAGTGGCATTAAGAAACAGAGA